GGGGGCTGCAGCCAGAGTCGGGGAGCAGCTGGGGGGCTCGGGGCTGAACCTCCTCATCAACAACGCTGCAATGCTGATATGCAACACCCTTGATACGGAGACGCTGGAGAGCATGACCCAGGTCTACACCACCAACACGATTGGGCCCATGCTGCTGAGCCAGGTGAGACCCTCACCGGAGCTGGGCTGTCCCGGGGGCACGAGGGGCCGGTGGGTGAGGGTCCTGGCTCTGCGCTGGTGCCTGATGGGCTCTCACCCAACGAGAAGCTCACGGAGCCGCGGGCTGGAGCTCAGGAGCTGGAGCCTGGTGGGCTGTGGCAGTGGGAAGAGGAGGGAGGATGCTGCGGTGCTGGTGCCAGCGTTGCCTGTTGGGGAAGGAGCTGGTCCTCGCCCCTGTGCCACCTCCGTGCATGGCCCCATCTCCTCTGCTCTCCTGGCAGGCGTTCCTGCCCTTGCTGAAGAAGGCTGCCCAGGGGAGCCCGGGCTCAGCGCTGCCGGGCTCGGAGCGGATCTGCAACAAGCCAGCCATCGTCAACATGTCCAGCTCTGGGGGCTCCATTAAGGATGTCTACCTATTCGATCGTGCACCAGTTCTGTCGTATCGCTGCAGCAAGGTACCTCCACGCTGCTGGGGGCTCCGTTAAGGAAGCCACTCTATTCGATCAGATACCAGCTGTCTCGTATCGCTGCAGCAAGGTACCGCCACGCTGCGCTGGGTGTGAGCCCAGACGCTGTCCCCCACCAAGCAATCCCACAGGCCTTCCAATCCCCCCCTCAGTCCCTGCACCTCTCCGCACCGTGACTGAGCTCCCGCCGGTCACTGGGTCCCCTCTCACACCACATTCCCCTGCCCTGTCCCTGCCACGTGGTCTGGATGCGTCCCCCTGCATCCACTTCCCCTCCCACCGCTGTCCCTGCCCTGTGTCCCGCAGGCTGCTCTGAACATGCTGACCAAGTGCCAGTCCCTGGGGTACCGGGAGCACGGTGTCCTCTGCGTGGCTCTCCACCCCGGCTGGGTGCAAACCGACATGGGGGGCTCAGGGTCACAAAAGGTAAGTAAGCTTTTGGCCAGTGTCTGGAGAACCTCTTTATTTGGGAATTACGGAGCTAGCTATGGATTGAATGGTCACAGAGATGCTGGGCTCCAGAAGAGCTCGTTGGGAAATGCCCTGAGCTGGAGGCACATCAGGGAAGAAGATGAGAGTCAGGGAATTTTTCTCATCCTGTGCCAGCCTCTCCTCACTCACACACGAGAAAGCCTTGAACCCCTGGGCAATGATCTGCTCCAGGGCAGAGATCAGCCAGACCGTGGGCACACAACCCTGTTTCTCCCTCCGCCCCGCAGCCTCCCTTGACGGTTGACGACAGCGTGCGAGGGATGCTGAAGGTGCTCTGCTCCCTCTCCGAGAAAGACACCGGCACCTTCCTGGACTGGGAAGGGAATGTTGTGCCCTGGTGAGACGCCAGCCCAGCCTCCTGGCAGCAGGACCCTGTGCTGCGGCACCGAGTTGTGCCTGTGTCTTAATAAATTCGTGTCTGTAAACAACAAGTAGCTCTGTTTGAGCCTTCCTCTTGGTCTCCTTTTAACTGTCATTGTAAGAGTCCTCACAAATGCTTTGAGTTTCTTAGAGTTGATTCTGCATGTAATTCAGCTAGGTTGGTTTGAATCTCTGATTTCCCCTGAGTGGGGACTGGCTATCATCCTGGTAGAGCTTTGTGCCTGGGCACAGAGTGGTTCGTCCCACAACTCTCCCGCTGACTGGCAGCACAACCTTCCCAAGCGTTAATCACCCCTCCCAATGAGCCCGTCCTTGCTTCTCAGTACAAGTTCCAGCAGAGCACGGCTCTTTGTTGGCTCCTCCACCACGTATGTCAGGAAGATGTCACTGAGGCTCTCTGGAACCTCCTGGGTTGTTTATGCCCTGCTGTGTTGTCCCTCCAGCAGATATCAGGCTGGTCACAGTCCCCCTGAAGACCAGGACCTGCAAATGTGAGGCTACTTCTAGCTGTTTGTCGGTCTCACACACTTGTTCCTCCTGATCGGGCAACCTACAGCAGAGACCCGCTTACACTGACACCCAACCCAGTCTTCTCCTTCATCCTGGCCCTCAGGCTTCCAGTTGGCTCATCACCCATCCCCAGGCAGAGCTCCACGCACTCCAGCTGCTCTCCCACATGAAGCGAAATCCCACAAAGGGGTCCCCGAGCCCTGCTGTTGTCTTGGGATTGGGGATGCAGCTGCCTGCATCAGTCTCCGAGCCTTGTCCGTATCCTAGGAACTGGAATGCCGCTGCGTGCACAGCCCCACACCAACAGTGGTGGCACAGCCTCTCCAGCTGTGGCTGATGAGCTGACCAGCACATCTGGACCTCACAAGCTGAGCCCCCATCTAGGACGCCCCCTCCCCAGGCTCTCAGTGCCCTCCGCTTCTGCTTGGGGAGTGGGCAGTAAAGTGGGGATAGCACCCCACAACACCCACCACATCTGCCCTCCCTCTGGCAGGAGCTGGGGGCAGAAGGCGGGTCCTTGCAACCTCTTTGTGACATGGTCTGGGTTCACAGCCGGACATTCCATTTCAGAATGGAGCTGGAGTCCCTTGGGTGAAGCAGAAGAAGCAGATGGAGATTGTGGAGGAGACGTTTCCTTCTCACCCGCCTGCTACAGGAGTTAACCCAGAGGAAGTGGGGGACAAGGATGGAAAACCTGTGGCCAGACGCGTTTCCAACACTCAAGAATCTCACCATTGGTGGTGAGGCTTGTTATCTCCTGCGTGTTGTAGACAATACGAGCTACAAAAGTTGCTGTGGAAACACGGGGGCTTTTGAGGAGGACTGGATGGGGCTGAAGGTTGCAACTTGAGCCCTGTTTGATCACCCCTTCCAGGCTCAGAGATCGGTTTGGCAGCGAAGACTCCTGGGTGCTCTCCCTGAGGACCTTCCTCTGCCCCCTCATTGCTGCCCACTCCCCAGGTGGAAGCACCTGCCACCAAGGGTTGCCGCTTGCCTTGCAGAGGTGATTGCCCGCCCGGAGATCCCAGCCACGGTGGCCATGCAGAGTTGGGGAGCACAGAGCGGGCTGACAGTGGTCCCTGCAGGGGAGACCCTGGGGGTCTGCTGCACCTCTGAGCCCTCTGTGGGCACCACACCATCCTCTCGCTGGTGTGGACATCTGTTCCACATCTTCTGCAGAGCACCTTACATGTTCTTAATTGGGGTGGCAACACGTTTCACCTCACTCATCTCCTTGGGTCAGCGTGTGCTGAAGGGTTGTGAGCTTGGAGTGTGACACATCTTTTGCTTGCTTTCCAGAGATCCATATGGTTTGGGATAGCTTGTCGGAATGCATCAGACAGCACTTGGCACAGGACATGGTAAGTCTTGCCTGCTGTTCCACCCCTCGTGAAACCCTGAGAGCTTGCCTTGCCTGAACAACACCATGCCATCACTTCCCTGCTCTGAAAGCAGAAACAGTCACATGGCAGGATGCTGCTGATCCTTCCTGTGACACGAATGAGAGAAGAAAGTGTGAATCACTTTCTGGGCTTTCTCTCAGCTCCACTGCCAGAAGGGGAAGACCATACCCTGGTAATTCTTTAAGGGTTTGTCCCTGTTGGAAACCCCTCCCATTACGCCCAAGGCAGGGGTGTTGGCTCTGCTTACTTTTCCCAATAGCTTCCTTGAGCAGAGCAGAGGAGAAAGAGCAAAAAAGTCCTGGAGTACATGCTTTCTCTCCAAAGTTTCCTCAGTGTCCCATCTTGGCCTTTGTAGGCTCAGGGCAAGGCAAGGCACAGGGTAGCATCCCCATGCCCTGACAAGTCATTGGATGCTTACAGTTGGTCCTTATTTTTTGCCTCCACTGTTTGCAGGGTGTCCAACTGCTGGGCATTGGGACATTCTATGTTCTGAAAGAGTGCACCTGCATGGCAAACAGTCAGGTTTCGATTGTTCGGAGACCCATGTTTCATATGTCCGAGGTGATTGCAGAAGAATGCAATCTCAGCTACGCCAAAGCAGATATTCCTGGTAAGAAGTCAGATTAAATAACAGATTAGATCTTTGCCTGCCCTTGCACCACCCTTGAGGAATCAGAAAGAGCCATTGTGTGTCCTTTTTTGGTAATATGCAGTCAGTTAGAGGATCTCTTCTTTAATTGCTTTCACACTTGGCTCCATACCACTTACGATTATGCAATATTGGGACAGCTTTCGGACTGTAATTTATTGGAGCTGCTGTTCCTAACGAAACTGAGATAAAGCTCATGTTCCACATTTATGGTGCTGCCCATCTACCTGTAATGGCAAAGGCCAGAGTTCCTGATGACTCTTACAGGCTCCTTCCAGAGTAAAGTGGGTACAGGTCACTTGCAGACACACCCGAACCAAAGACGGGGACAAGAGTTTAGGGCAGGACCCATGGATGGCCAGATTCGCCATAGTTTCTGGTCAGCTGCGGTGTGACACGAGCAATGCTGTGGGAAATGAAGAGCCTGGGGCTGTGTTTTGAGGGGTTCTCCTCTTCCACATGACTCTGCCTCCCGGGTGATTGAAGCATCAGGTGCATGCGCAGGTACGAGGGGCAGGGGGACAGTTTTGCCCCTCTGTTGCTGCTCCATGAGTCTGGCAGAGACTGAGCCGGAGCGCACTGGGTGTGTGGCCAGCGCCGCGGGCTTTGGCGTGGGGTCCGCATGCGTCTCCCCTGCCCTCATACCCAGTGTTCATCCTCCCGACACTCTTAGGAGCTGCTAGCATGGGCTTCAACAGACTGTGCTGGAGCAGCGTCCTGCCTGAAGCTCCAGAAAGGCTTACCCTGTCCTGCTGCAGAGGTGACTTGGTTTCTCTTTTTCTGTTCCCCAGCTGATGTGACCGTCGTCACTCTGAGGTGTGAGGAGCTCTCCGTGTGTGCCCAGCTGCCTTTTACAAAGGTGCAATGCTGTGTCTACGAGACCGTGATGGCATTCTTTCGGGCCACTGCTAACAGACAGGACACGGACTTTGTCTTCAAGGACATGGGCATTCTTTCCATACGAAACAGGGAAGTCACCATGAGATTTTTCGATGACTTTCTCCTCCTTGTGGAAGGCTCCGGAAAGTTCCTGGAAGCCCTTCTCAGTGTAAGTGGATCCCTTCCCTAATCCTGTCAAAGGGCACCTGTCAAAGGATGACTGATCAGGAATCTAGTGGCCTGTGAGGACCCTCCTGGCCACTGCGGCGGTCGTGGTCTACAGCAGAGCCAACTCTGCAGCGTTCAGCTCTCCTGCGCAGTGGTGTAGCTGACATAGGAGGATCCAGGAAGAGTCACCTAGAGTTAAATCAAGGCTCTACCTAGCCCAGCATCCCACTGTCTGTCCCAGGAATGATAATGGTGGGGCTTTGATGGGTTCAAA